TACATACGCGAGTAATAAGATTTTTCAGTTTTAAAAACGTGAGGCATCAAACTTATCTTTAGTGATTTATTACTGCAAAATTAGTTTTTCATCATGCTATGCGTATATGATCAAAAGGTCGATAAACAACATTTGCACTTACGCAAAGAAATAGGTGAACGTGCGTTGAGGCCGTGTAAACAAGTTTGCTATTCGCAATTTACTTGCTTCGAATACTATCGACCCCATGTTATGTAAACAAAAATTTTATAATACGCATCCGTTCATGTAAAAGACCTTTTAATCCGTAAATCTCTGTTTTTATCATGGCAACTTCAATATTTTTCATTGCTTTAGCCATTATAATACTGATGCCATCTACGAAGCTTTTGGAACATTTCATACTTAGAACAGATTTTTTTCTGTTTGTAAAAGCTTCAACCAAAGGATAGGTACAAGCTCAAGAAATGTTCTGCATTTACAGAAAGCGACTTAGGAAGATTTTTTATTTCACCCAGATGACAGTTTCAAAAGTCATACTTGAAGTATCGTTACTTAGCAACTTTAAAGCACGTGTGTTTTAATTAGTTATTTATGCAATGAGTGTATAAATGAGGCGTTTTATTGGTGAGTGAGATGTTTAGTCCACGAGCGCAGCGAGTGGACTAAATTCGAACGAACCAATAATCGCCGATTTATACATGAATTGCATACAACGTTTTTTCGTCGACCTCACTGGGGTAGGTTATTTTAAAATCAACTACGAGAAATTACAAAAGAGATTATGAGCTACGATTTTTCACTAAATTACAGCTATTGTCGTTGCTATAGTAATATGTTGTTTAATGCTGTAGGTACCGTCAGTCCTCGTAATCGCAGTGGAAGATTATGTTGCTTGCTCTGCTGCGGAGACGATTTTAACATTATATCCACTCAAATCAAAAGAAACTTATTGGAACGGTTTCGATCAGTTCGGCAATTGATGGAATACAATGAATTTGAAAGGAGATATTTCCGAAAATGTCACGTTGACATTTTACCTTGAAAAGGTATGTGAAATTAGAATGTAATTAATTCTTTTGCAACTGTACTAAAGTACGTGTATTAACAGTTAAAGATATGGAAAAGTTCATCTCTGTGGTCGACGTACTCAATGTTGAAGGTAAAATAACTTAATACCTTAACAATACCTTATCCGAGAAGCTACACAGGATATGCTTTGCTGAGATCGTTGGCGACCATACTGGCTGCTGATCTCACTACATTAAAACCGAGATTAAAATGGTTAGGTAGATGGAAGTTCTCAGCTGTTGCCGAAAGTGAATTGTTATATAAATGTCATTTCCCTTTAATAAAATGGTTGTTATGTACAAGTTGTTGCTAACGATTAATGGTTGCTAATGCATAATGGTTATGTATAAGTGGTTGCTAACGATTAATGGTTGCTAACGTATAATGGTTTCTAACCATTAATGAGCTTGATTACTACACCCGTAACTAAGGTGTAATTTATGCTGTTATCGAGAGGTCGACGAAAAACACATTTTTCTAATTTTGACATTTAAAGTGACACTTTTTAAAACTCGTTGACGTTGTCAAATGCCTTACTTTTCATAACCAGTTGTGAAAAGTAAAATATTTCGCAACTGGTGATGAAAAGTAAATTTCAGCATTAGTTGCAAAAAATACAAGAATAAAATTTGTGATATAAATTTGATTTCAGTTTTCTTACAGTAAACAAAACTTCGAGCAAAACTTAAATTTAACGTAAATTCCGTCTCAAATGCTTACGGTAACGTGTCATTTAAACTAAACTACTTGTATTCCGAAAAACTAATTATAAATATTAATAACACAATTGGAACAATGGGCAATATTGACTCCATCTGACACCGTAGTTTTCTGGGTAGGCCTTTTCTATCGAAGTCTCTCCAAGAATGTTAGTTGCAATCTTCTGTTTATTAATTATGGAATTCTCCACATAGCCTTCAGCGACTGTATTCGACTTCCACCCCCCCATGTTGCTTTATTCTCAACAAATCGGCCCCAGAATCAGCAAGGAGAGTGGACCGCCGAAAGCAATGACCGGTGTACAAACAGGGATTTGGCAACTTTAAAAACTGGGCTATCATTTTCGGCAAATTTCCGAAAGTATTCATACCCACAGGTTGAACTCCACATTTCCCATTTGAATATTTCACGAAAAATCTGTCATGCTTTACATTTGAAGGTCTTAGCAGCACGTACTTCTTTATCATTTCAATGCAATTTATACCATCAAAAGCACCAGTGGTTATAGCAAATTCTCGAAATACTTTTGTCTTTGCGTTGGGAATGGTCACTTGAACGAACTGCTCCTGAAATATTACATTTTCTACGTGAAGAAAGGTTAGTTCACTTTTTCGAGAATGGCAATTGTGAAACTTGACACTAAACATAAATTGCTTCCATAGTAACGAAGTGTCAAACACACACACACACTCACTTGATGATTTAGAAATAATTATTGGATGGGCATGTTTAACTTCATTTAAAAAGGATCATATTCAAAATTAGAAAAAATATTGTGTGAAACACGTTGGGAAACACTATTATTCGTAACTCGCTTTCTTTTGCGGAACTCGCTTCGCTCGTTCCGCAGAAATCAGCTCGTTACGAAAAATCGTGCTTTTCCCAACTGGTTGCACAAATAACTATTTCGCGTAGTCAGCAGGAAACGTGGAAATAAACAAAACAAACGCGTGCACGTTGACGCGTTAAAGCAAATCCAAATTCAAGCGCTTGCGGTCGGACGTTGTTGAGCGATTAATTTTAAATGTCAGTGTATAGGATAAAAAATATTGTGTGCACCACGGCACGAAAGTTGTTTTCCGGGCCTCAGGAAGTGGCCAGCCTCGGCTGCGCCTCGCCTGGCCATATCTTCCTTCGCCCCGGAAAACAACCACTTTCCCGCCTTGGTACACAAAGTACTATTTCCGGGTCGATCTGAGTAAATTTTTTTTTCGGGCCTCAAAAAAAGGCAGTGTACAACCTTCGTTTTTTTCCAAAAATCGACTACACCAAAATTTCTCTGGAAAACACTTTTTCTTATTAATTTTGGTGCGTAGAATCCAAAACAATTCGTACTTTTTCGATCAGACTTCTCAATCAAAAGTTAGACTAGAAACCAATTTCGAAAAAAAATTCAAAGGGCTGTAACTTTTGAACTAGTAGCCCAATCTTGGAACTGTTTGAAATTATGGATTCTACAGGCCACATTCTATAAGAAAATTTTTTCCGGGTCGATCTGAGACAATTTTTTTTTCGGGGCTCAAAAAAAGGCAGTGTATAACCTTCCTTTTTTGCCAAAAATCGACTGCACCAAAATTTCTCGGGAAAACACTTTTTCTTATTAATTTTGGTGCGTAGAATCCAAAACGAATCGTACTTTTTCGATCAGACTTCTCAATCAAAAGTTATAGACTAGAAACCAATTTCGAAAGAAAATTCAAAGGGCTGTAACTTTTGAAGTAGTAGCCCAATCTTGGAATTTTTTGAAATTATGGATTCTACAGGCCACATTTTATAAGAAAATTTTTTTCCGAGTCGATCTTAAACAATTTTCTTTTCGGGCCTCAAAAAAAGGGAGTGTATAACCTTCCTTTTTTACAAAAAATGCACCAAAATTTCTCAGGAAAACACTTTTTCTTATTAATTTGTGTGCGTAGAATTTCATTTCATTTTCATTTTTCATTTTTATTTATTTGTTACTTTTAATTATCAGCTTCCTTTTTTACCAAAAATCGACTACACCAAAATTTCTCTGGAAAACACTTTTTCTTATTAATTTGGGTGCGTAGAATCCAAATCAATTCGTATTTTTTCGATCAGACTTCTCAATCAAAAGTTATAGACTAGAAGCCAATTTCGAAAGAAAATTCAAAGGGCTGTAACTTTTGAAGTAGTAGCCCAATCTTGGAACTGTTTGAAATTATGGATTCTACAGGCCACATTCTATAAGACAATTTTTCTCCGGGTCGATCTGAGACAATTTTTTTTCGGGCCTCCAAAAAAGGCAGAGTATAACCTTCCTTTTTTTACAAAAAATCGACTGCACCAAAATTTCTCGGGAAAACACTTTTTCTTATTAATTTGTGTGCGTAGAATCCAAAACAATTCGTACTTTTTCGATCGGACTTCTCAATAAAAGGTTATAAGACCACTACAACCAAAATTAAAGTAACAAACTCGATTTCTAAAAATACACAAAACGCAATGTGCCTAACTTAACCTAAAATCGAAAAAGCATGAGTCCTCAGTTGTCTTTCTACCCCCCCCCCCCTGTTCCTTGCTATACCGAAAATAAGTACAACTAGCAAAGTCATATCGATCGCTACTTATCAGTCCCTGAGTCGGTGATTTTGAGCCGGATCAAATGTTGCCTTTGCAAGGGCGAGTTAGTTATTGATTGTTGTACCGACCTCTCTAATGTAGTGAATCTGAATCACATGAATTTATTACCGAAACAATTTTTTTATTCATAGAAATTTCTCTTAGAAAATCAAACGTCCTAAACTTCACAATCGGACTAAAATCTACAGGAGAAAATTTCCGTAATAATGATATACCTCACTAAAACTAAATAGACCGCTGGAAGAATCAAGACAATGTCAGTGAGTGGGCGGTTTAGAAGAGAATAATAGCAATTATCTGTGCCGTATCTATTAGAACTAGGAACTTATTTATAGTCATCCATAATTTGTTAGGTATGGGCACACAAGGACACAAAGACTTTTGAAAAATGTCAAAAAATGACGGCACAGAGGATGTGTTATAATTGCATAGGGATACACAATAAAAATTAGTGTCGTTTTTTCTCAGTATATTTAAGTGCTGTTAAATAGTACTTAACATTTAGAATCTTGTACGGAAATATTGATTTACGTTGGTTTTTCTAAGTGGGAATTACGTATACAGTTATCGTCAACCTTAGCATCTTCTGTTGCATGGTAATTAAAACCAAATTAAAAACGTAGACAGAAAACTATTGTTTTCCAGTTACTCAATGATGAGCCTCTCATTATAAATATATCTTCAGGATTGCGTAGCTGTTCATTTACAGATTTCAATTATGAAAGTACTAACCAGTGCCGTTTGTGTTCTTTCGTTCATTGTGTCTTCCACTTGTACTATCCGTATGTATTTCGCTAATCCATGCAAGAGCCTAAAGTCAATTTTTAGCCAGTTACATTAAAATATGTCCACCAAACGAAAAATATGCAGAGTGCGTCATTTCCGCAGTCAACAATTTGCGAAAAACATTAACCACTGGTATAGAGGAGTTAAATATTCCACCAATGGAACCGCTTTACTTGGGTCAAGTTAGCTTCCCCAATCGACAGGCCGGTTTGGCGACTAATTTAACCAATCTCAAAGTAACAGGTGCCTCTGGGTTCGAAATTATAAAATTGGTGTAAGTAGTAACATTACAATAACAACCCTGGCTAACTAGAAACGCTAGTCCAACGCTAACGAAGAGAGGTCATACGTTTCGAATTGAAGCACGAGTTCCAAAAATACACGCTGAGGGTGAATATGAAGTGAACACGAAGTTTTTGCAACTCGAACTAAACGGATCAGGGCCCTTCACTGCCGATATCGGTAAGAACTAATTTCAACACTATTTCACTTAATTAATGCATTGTAGAGGACTATCATTTTGAGTGCATGCTCAAAGGAAGAAAGACCGAGCAGGATGGCCGTACTTTTTTACGGTTTGCGAAAATTCAGTGCCACACCGTTATTGGCAAGTCCTCGATCTATTTGCATAATCTGTTTAAAGGAAATTCGGTTCTTGAGAAAGCTACCAATCAAGCAATCTCTGAGAATTCGGATCAACTTTTTAAGGAAGTGTGGCCGGAAATCGGCAACGCGCTTAGTGATAAATTTACGGAAATTGCAAATAAGATTACTGTATCTTTTAATTATGATGAACTGTTTCCGAATATTTAATTCGTCTAGCGTACCTACTTATCCAATGGCGTCTGGCCATCATGCGAAAATGCAAAATATGCGAATAAAAATTCACCCCAAAACCTTTTTTTTTTTAATTTTTATAGCATCTTAGTGGAGGGTTTTAAATTTCTACGTATAGAATTTTCTTTCGTCAAGTCAAGGCAAACAAGATATGAAGAATAGCACACGAGGTTCAAGAGCGGATTTTTTTATGAAAGCTTATCCGTAAACGGAAATAACAAAAATAACAACTTGCAAAATCCAAGTATAGGAGTTTGCTCCATATGTAAAACTAAAAAGAAATGGATCCGCCGTTCTTTCTTGGCCCTTCAAATAACAAATTCACCATCTCCTTTAGGTGGTATTTAACTATCTTAGTAAAGTGAATTCAATTTACCAACAGGGCTTGTCAGATCGGGTTATTCCCTACGAAGGTAAATGTATTCAGTACTTCATGTACTTCGCGAGATTCTTCTCAGATTTCTGACGAATCTTCCTGAATCGTTTTGGAATCTGCTCTGTTCTTTCAAGAATCGTTAGAACCGCGTGAATTTTTACATTTATCACTTATGCTACTATTATTCTCATCTATCGAGTGCCCAAAGAAAAATCTATTAGACATTCTAGACATCTTGGATTGTGATATATAGGTCAGTGGTAGAGCGTTGGGCTACATAGCAGGAGGTCGGGTGTTCGAACCTGGACTGAAGTAAGAATCCATCTGTGGCAGAGAACGGATTTTCCTTAGATGAAAGTTTCGAGCATTCTGCCGGCTACTGCGAATTAGGTTGTTGCCTGTTGAGGGCTCATAACAGAGGGGCAATAAATAAATAAAATAAAGATAAATACTTAGATCCCAATCAATAACGGACTTTCATTCTAAATCGGTGCCCAATTCAGTACCCACGGTGGGACAGTGAGGCACTTGGGTACCTAAGTATGGACAATTTACATAACATGGACTCTCTAAATAGACAATGTAACTAAAGAATTTACCTCAATCCGCAGTTACGTGATTTCCACATTTGGTCGCGAATAAGACAAATAATGCAGAAACAATTCCGATGAACTTAAAGAAAGATGGCTACAAAACTACTTTACGTCATTCTGAAAATTTATTTATTTAATAAAAAAAACGCATAGATAGAGATTAGTCAGGAGAGATTTTTGAAGGCATTCGGATTTGGGCTTCGGGAGCGTTAACCGCACTGTTCATATATCGTTTTTTTGGGGTTTCGACTGAAAAAGAGTAACTACGTCGGTTACCTCAATAAAATTTGTAGCGAGATCGCTATTTTTTGGACATAATAAAACAAAGTCATAGGAATTTCAAGTTCGAACTACAAACTAAAATACAATAAAATTCGGTCCAAACCAAGTTTAGAGTAAATTTTGTGAGGGCACGAGTTTATAATTTAAAAAACACTTACAAGTGAATTAATTAACCGTATTTGTTTTGAAACTGACACCAAAGAGGGGATTATCGTGGATTTAGAAAAAAGAAATAAAGTTATCGTTGAGTGGTGGCGGATCGGACGTTTGGGAGAAAGCTCGACGCTAAAGCATAGAGCGACAAATTTTATTGAGTGAGAACCCATTAACTTAAAAAACAAAAGAGCAACAACATTTTGGAGAAACCAGCCCACTCTGTATTTTCCTTGTTTTGACTTTTTAATTATTTTTTTTGCGGTAAGCTGAAAAGAAGACAGTTATCATACTAGTGGCATTTATAGAAAATGAAGGCGGGCTCAACTAGGCACTGCTTGTCGTGCTATTATTTATGCAACAGGGAAAGATTGTTGAAAATGGAATCTCTTCTAACAACCATCGCATATACTTCGTGACGTAGGTTTCAAAAACTTTTCCAAATACTGGAGATAGAGCCTTCGCAACGGCTTCCTCGCTTTCTGCCAGTACCTCATTCGTGTTACCTATAAAGTTTTTTTAACACTTGATGAAACACTAATGTGCACAGCTCACCCCAAGGACCTTCCCCTGTCACTAAACCGTCAAACTGGACCCACATCTTGTCCACTTGAAAATCAAGTTTAACACTTTCCAACGTAACATCGCCATTGACTCGTTGCCCGGTAATTTCGAAGTTAATTGTTGAAGGTGAAACGATGGACTTGTAGAAACCTTCACCGACGATTGGCAAATTGATAGTGTGACCATTCATAACGTAATTTGAGAAAATATGTAGATTTCCAAACCATAGTTTTCCTTTTAATTTAGGTTTTTTTGGACAAAATCTGCGCTGACATTTTAGTGAACTTCGCCTATTAAGTATTACTTACCGTACGTCCGAAAGACTGTATAAGTCCATACCGTAAATTTTTAAGTCTGTCGCCCTCACTGTGAAATTGGCATCATGAGACTGGTGGTTGACTTGAAAATTTTTCAAAATTAGTGGAAAGAATGAAGGTATTCCATATTCTTCAATTCCCTTTCGTAGCAGCGGTTGCGCCTCCAACGCAGCGTTTTTGATACATTCGCTTAAATTTGGGTCATCTATATAGCACCTTGTAAGAGACTGTGCTGGAAGTGTTTTTGGAAATACTATGAGGGCGTTTGTTAACATTTAACTTACGTGGATCTCGAGAGGCTACGATTGCGACGAAAGCGAGAAACGGAAGCGAGTGAAGCATGCCTTTAGCATAGGAATACATCGATAAACAACAACCAGCTTTATTAATGAAATTTATACTTATAGGAGAAGATCTGAAGGTAATTGAGCTAGTAAAATTTACAAATTCTTTGACAAATTAACGTTTTTCAAGAATATTATTCAAATTTAATTACAAGAATTTGCTCAAGCATGAATAAGTAATGCTAATGCTCCTAATTATTGTTGTGCCTAATGAGTAATGAAAGGATAGCTAAATGCAGCCACCTAAGAATGCAGTTTTGCTGCAATACAAGCAGAAGGCAAAGATATTAGAGACACGTGCTATTTCTTTATATATTCGTTGTTTTTCATTAACTTTCATTGGTATCAGTCTACAGAAGGCAATTAGTGGGTAAGACCTTACAATTTCCATAAGCAATCAATCTCAATGTTTATACTCAAGGCCAAGAAAACGTTTTATAGAAAAGCAGCCTTATATACATTCTACCATTAAATAGAAACATTTTATTTTATGCGATATTTGCTTATCAAGTAAGTAATATGTTTAATTACTTATTTTTATTCTTGCATTAAGAATAAAATTTTGCTTTCCGTTATATTCTTGAACTATGTAAATAAAAGTTTTTTCCGGTTTTTCCTTCTCCGTTCCATCCTCCTACTATGTGTCTTTTTGATTGTTGCTACATAATGCATCACCGATAGATGCGTGGTGAGCGCCTATTCCTAGAAATTTGTTTGGAGGCGCATATTTCGGCGAAGAATATTGGGGGGACTATTCGTCTTTGGGGAGATTTTCTTTGAGGCCAAATTTTAACACCGACTTTCTCCTACAAAGTTGATAGTTCTAGAATTGAGCAGAGGGCAATTATTTCAAGAGCGGGTAGGGAAAAATCTTATTTCCCGAATTCCCTGTGGGCCGAATTTTTTTTTGCTAATAATTTAGTTATCTTTTCGTTCAGTAAATTTACTGACACTATTTTAAATGCTTTTTACACTACACACCCGTGGTTCTTAAATGATACACGTTCGTGAATATGACCAATAGATTTTCTATTAACACAATTTTTAAATGACAATAGAAAAAATACATTGGACTCTTGTTCATTCTCACGAACGCTTAAATTCTAAGGACTGTAGGGGTTCTGGCACCTTATTCTGTAGTGTAAAGAACATGACCATTGGATTCTGGATTCTGGATTACGATAGGAGGGTGAACAGTGTCCACGCGTACTTAGGCCTCAAATTCGGGCCCTTTGTACTACCTCCCTGACTAGGGTCGCCCGACCCCTCAACATCACTCAAGCCATCCCACACGTGAGATGAACCTTAGGACGCTGGAAGGGGAGGCGGCTCTAATCGTAGCCATGTCCGGCCAGGATTCCCCCAACATGGATCGTCTCAGTTGGACTAGAGCGGGACATTCACAGAGTATGTGGTATGCCGTCTCGTCGTCTGTGTAACATCCTCTACAAGATGGTGATTCCACCAAACCCATGCAGTGCATGTGCTTGTTTAGTTTACAGTGCCCACAAAGTATGCCCACGAGTAACCTCAGGTTCTTCCTTGATAGCCCTGTACAAAAACGCGCCAAGCTACGAGATGGTCCTCTGAAGGCTTCTCTCGCATGGCGACAATCTAACATCAAGTTCCACCTAGCTCTGTGCTGGGTTTGGGTGTCTTGAGTTATTAGGTTGTTTACAGTTTTAACTGTAAGTGGAAGAGCCGGCTCTGGACCATAAAACGCCTGTTTTGAGGCCAGTCGGGCTAATTTATCGGCTTTCTCATTACCTTCCGTTCCAGCATGCCCTTTGACACATACGAGCTCAAGGGTGTTGCTGCTTGCTACTTGCTCTAGTACGTGGTGACATTCGGAAACCATCCTAAGCCCCTTCTATATCTATGAATACTCCCAGTGCGGACTCTTTATAGTGCAGCGATCTCTCAATCTGCCCTACAACGCAGTGCAGGGCTGATTCCGTAGATCTTCCTGACCATGCACTTTATTTAACAATTTGATCTTCGGCATTGAGTGCACTTTTTCTCCACAGCAATTTCGAGCTCAAACCTTACAAAGGCAAATTTCGTAACGTTGGGTGGTTGTGTCCACAAGCCAAGATGTTTGTTCTTAATCTTTGTTCAACGGTTCAGTCGAATCCATTGCTTGAAAGAAAATTATTATGCATGGGGGAATATCATTTTGAGCACTTTGCGACGAATAGTACCGCCAAAAAAATTGCCATTAGATTAAAGTTAGTGTTTAATAGTCGATCTACACATGTTTTTTTATTTATTGTATCCAAATCATATTATGTAGTACTTCATGTAGGCATACAGTTACCACAATAACAAACCTGCCCTATGCATCCTCCAATGAGGCAATTATCCGATTTACATAAGTAAGCACAATTTTGGACACAGTCTGTTGCCGTAAAGTAGCGCAAGGATAAAATATCTGGAATAAAAATTTCCTCATAAATCAGAACTGCAACCTACAAAAAACAAATTAGAAAAGTACGCACCTGGAGGATCAATGGCACTACTGCGGCCTGCTTGCAGCAATATAACAAAAATAACAGTAAGTCGGATTACTTGAATTTTTCCCATTTTGCGTCTCTTAGTCTGGCACCCTACCGCAGGTTATACAGCTGAAAGAAGCTCGTTTCCAAAATTTCAAGCACCTATATTTACCGTTAGTAACGATCACATAAATTTAACGAAGCGTAAATTACTGTTTCTGGACCATAAATATCAACTATTCCAACAAAAGCGAAAAACAATTAACCTTCGAAGCTGGTAAAAGCATTTTGATTGCTTGCTCCAATGATTTCAAAGGACGTCACCATATTATGCTTCCAGCAGAATTCAAAGTCTTTTCCAATCATCATTGAACGTTCTTCCAAAAACAGTCAATAGTTTTGTATAAAATGATGGCTCCTCTCGGTTTGGACATCTTAAAACTACAACTGAAATACATCGAGCATTGAGCCCATGGATGTTTGTTCACAGTTTTCTATTCCGTTTCCATTTGGGCCTGTATGAGGTCGATTTCTGCAAATCTCTGAAGGTTGTTTATCGAATCGCCAAAAACTTAATATTTTATCACGAATCTTTCTTCTTCTGTAGGAGAAGAAAAGGGTGACCCCCTTTAGCGATTGAGGTGGCGAGGACTTAAAAAGTTTGCGCACCGATCTAACGGGGCTGTACAGTGACTCTATGAAGACTTTCACCAAATACACCCCATTGGTAGAAATTAACCTGGAAACCAAGGTGGTGAGGTCACCTTTCCATAATATATTGTAATCATCGCAACATGTACCAATTCGGTTAAACCAATCAGTTCAATGATATATTGGAAAAAACATGGCGGACATGAAGCATGTGGCCACACTCTTTATATGCAGTTACTGTGGTGTGAGGATCTAAAGACCCCATCTCGAGGATACTTTGTTCATCCCTACACCTTTTGTGTAAATTATGTAAAATTTTGAAAACTGTTTCTTCTGATATTGAACTTTGTTTGCAATAATGAAACTATAATTCTTCGATCTGTCAACTCCGTCTTTCCAACTTTCTTTATTGTCTACTGTGTTCTTGCCTCAAAAGGCCTACCAGATTTTGTATTATCCTGTATAGATTCTAGAACTCAACCAAATTGTTTTGACCACAATTTTACTTCTTAGTGAAAGGTTTTATAATGCTTCTGTGTCATGTGATTCTTTATATTAATAAAAATAGTATATTAGGCTCCCCAAAAGAGAATGCCGGTCACAGAACACCTGATGCCGGTCTACAATAGTATGGTTTAATATGAAAAATATACGATTATAGACCGGAATCAGATATTTTTAACCGGCATTCTCTCCTGGCGAGAATTATATTAAACCATTGTATTTAAATACAATGATTAAACGTAGAGTTGTGGTGACATACTGCTACGGTTAGGCAACTCACCATACATCTGAAAAACTTCGTCTTCGACCGTTTTGCGAAAATGCCGATGAGCAGGCATATTCGCGCAAAAGTAAACGTCGGTCACTAAATTTTACTTTCAGCATCGTTATTGAATCACGTTTGTTCATTATGCTGTGCAGTTGGTTCTGTCTATATATTGTTTTATTAAGTAGTTATTTATGTATTCACGAGAGTATCGAAAGTCGACGACTAACAATTTGTTCTGTGGAGGAAGTACCTCATACAGTTCCTATTCTTTACTGTATTGTGTTGCTTCCATATCTCGTGCGGACTGCAGCTCTCTTTGCAGTACGAAAAGGAAGTCACCTAATTCACTTTCGTTCGGTTTAGTATGTGGGGTCTGGTTGTAAGATGATCGATGTAACTTACATGGGTATAAGTAGGTGCAAAGAAATATAACCATGCACAGCGCGTGTTGCCTATAACGTGCGATGGGAGCGATGTCTTGAAATTAGCCCTCTACAGTAAAAAAAATAGTATCTCTAACAGAAGCAGAGTGCAATTTGTTTTCTATAAACACAAAGAATTATAAACAAAGAATAAAACTATAGGCGGGTCAACTGTACGGAGATTTTGAATTTCACTTTACTCTATCAACTATTGAACATTGCAAAATAAGGGGTGTAGTTCCCAAAATGACATTCTATTATGAATATCTAGTAGATTATCCCATTTTACAAGCTTGACCAGTAAGGCATAATCACATTTCCAAAATGCTGAAATTAGTTCAGGTATAGATCTGGGGGCATTGCGTGTCAACCTATTTACTCCTCCATGCCTATTCTAAGATCTTGGTTCAATTGTATGTTTACTAAAACTTGTTTAATGCACGAAAGTTATAAATGACAATTAGGCTTTTTTCGTATCCCTGCAACTACCGCAGTAACACACCTGCCCTACGCAGCCTCCCATGAAACAGTGGTCTCCATTGCACACGGTACGACAATTGTGGTTGCACTCAAATGGGGCTAAATAACGATGGGTTATGACTAGAAATAGATATCAATAAGTACACCACAATAAGTTATGCTAGAAGATACCTGATATGGGGACTTTCGCTCCATTTGCAACGGTAACAGTCATAAAAACGGCAAAAAGCATAAAGATTTTGAACTTGTCCATTTTGCAACTTTTCGGATTCAACTCGATCCAATTTTCAAGTTGGTAGTTGTGATATTTAATAATGCTTCGATGCTTTTATGGGCATTTTATAGACTTAATGAGGCACGAATTTATGCCTTTCTCGCAAGAAATTATATAGCTATTGCACAATAATAAAGGACTGTAGTTATTATCACGATTATTAATTTCACAGCCAAATGTATCGATAATTTCCAATAATGTTTAACTTTAAGTGTGTAACTTTCAGATATTACTGCCATATTGTTTTATTATTAGTCGTTAATTAGTCATACCGTTTTGTTGTTACATTATCTCTATCTCCTTCTACAGTTTTAATTATTTTCAATTCGGATTCTCGTTTATCCTTTGCATTCTTGCCATGGTTAGAAATCGTAAAAAAATCAGTATCGTACTCATTAGCCCCTATACATTATATTTTCCAAAATATATACATCATATTGTGATTTAAGGATCGCATTCTAGTTTTTAGAATTTGAAATGAACTTGCAAAGAACCTGAGAAGCTTAAATATAACTTGAGAAACTTGAATGTCGCTTATGAGAAAACTTAAAGTCTGTAGAGAAACGTGACTTTAAGAGAACTAGTGAAGAATTCGGTAAGAACTTGAAATTTAACGAGAAATTAGTGGATAATGGAAGGAGGAAACTCGAGGAAAACCTCGTAAGGAATTGGAAAGTAGTTAAGACTTAAGTAGCCATGAATTTTAAAAAATCTTGTAGTTAACTCATTAGACTTAAACAGCTTAGACTTAAGAGACTTGGGAAAAACGTTATACGAATTTGAGCAGAAGGACTTCATTGAAATTAGAGAGTATATAAATAAAACGGGAATTTAACAAAAATTTGGTGAATCAGCTGAGTAGTGAATGCAAGAGGAACTTGAAGGGCGTTTATAACGAACATCAAGGGAATTGGAGGGGATATTTAGTGTAACTTAAGGAGAATTTGTTGGGGGGACTGTAAAGGAACGTGAGATAAATCTACATGATCTCAGAATCTACTTAAATAGTATATTAAGATACAAGTGTATAATCAAGTCTTTAAAGCACGCGCAACGAGTTTAAGGGCACGACGCAAAGCGGAGTGCCTTTAACGTTGCAAGTGCTTTAAAGACCAATTATAGACGTGTATCTTATAGTATTTTTTATTATACCTGCAGTATAATTTAAAAATAGGAAATTCAATGAAATCATATTGACGTTACACTCGAATACATGTCAATTAAGTGGGCTGGGTGTTCGTAATTTCACGATTGCCATGGAAATGTCACTTGACGTTTGCTTATAAAAATTGTCGTCTTTGTGAATAAAACGATTTCCGTTGAAAAAGATAATACACCGTCCATTAAATCGCTTGTTGTAAAATCTAAACAAACGTTGGTAGGTGTAAAATCTCAATCCAGTAAAGCCTATTATCAAGCATATGAAAAGTTGTTTCCACGGATGAATAGGAAGATACTTACAAATAAAGTCTTAAATGCATCAATAATGCTGGCATATATGAAGGAAATGTCAAAGGTATTTAAATCTTCTATATTTTGGTGCATTCATTCAAAACTTTAAAGCAGTGCTGCGATTAAAAAGTGGAACAGATTTGGAAGCATACCCTAAATTACGCGCGTTTGTGAAAGCTTCAACCAAAGGATAGGTACAAGCCAAAGAAATGTTCTGCATTTACAGAAAGCGACTTAGGAAGATTTTTTATTTCACCCAGATGACATTTTCAAAAGTCATACTTGAAGTATCGTTACTTAGCAACTTTAAAGCACGTGTGTTTTAAAGGCCTTTTTTCGCACGCATTTGAGTGTTTAAAACGGGGATTGTGATTCAGGTATAATAAAATAGTACATTGAAATACAAGTGCAGAAACGGTATTATTGAAAAACGAGTATAAATGTAGGAACACGAGCGCCAGCGAGTGTTCCTATTATACGAGTTTTTCAATGACCGTTTCGGCATGCGTGTTTCATACTATTTTTTCTATTTCGATGTGGAAACAATACCGAAACCTTACTTGATTGGTCCAGTTTGCGTGCGTTTCTAGACAGAAATAATGCCGAAAGAAATAGAAACGCATTATTTTTTTTATTTTGTTGGATTGGTACCCCTCGCTTTTTTGCTGTCAACGGTATCCGTCAAATCAAAACTAAACATAACCTGTAAAGTGTAAATAACGTACGAGGAACTTGACCGATTGTATTAATTCCGATTAATTTTGAATATATACTCCAAAGGGTAGAACTTTTTTTATTTTTACTTAGCGTAGTAAAATATGCCAGCAGTACATTCTTGCTTACTTTTTGAACTCCCCTTCTCGGCCAGCCAGTTTTCAAAAATTTTGTACTCCTCGTACTTTACTTTCGATTTTACAGGCAGTAAATTTAACGTCGCTTCATTGGCAATCTCTTGGATCTCTGGTGGGGTACAAGAGACGTGTTTGTCATCCGTATTTATCATAACTGCCGCAAAATGGAATTATGACCAAATAATTAAAAGTTTGAAGTTTGAAAATACAGAAATCAGGTTAGCCAACGTGAAAATAAATGAATTGTGTCTATTACCAACATACACTGAATGATAGTTTAAAATTACCTAACAACGCCTAAGGGCAATATTTATAATTTGTATAATTTATTATTTAAAATAAAAGTCGAAATAGAAAAAATAGTATAAAGCACACGTGTCATTTGACGAAGATTGTCGCACTCGGCTTTTGCCGCATTCGCCGCTACGCGGCTTATGCGGCAAACTACCTCGTGCGACAATCTTCGTCAAATGTCACTTGTACTTTAATATACTATTGCCGCACTAGTGTTTCAAAGACCTGTTTTCACAATCAATTTACCTACAAAAACAATCGTGTTTCTACACTTTCGTAGAAAAAAGAATTTTATATATAATAATAGTAACTTGGAAAAAAAGTTTTAATCGCGTTTATTATAAAACAGACTGAAGCTTGAAGATGAATATGGGAAAAAATTGAAAAAATCTTGGAAAAAAATTAGGAGAGTGTTCACCAAGGAACTAAGGCTGCATTTCTAATCTTTCGGTCAATCCAGAAGCTCGAAGCTATTAAACTTGAAAAACATTTGAAAAACCCCGAAATTTTTCATTTTTGTCTTTTATTTCTTCGTTTATACAGGGTGTATACGGTCTTCTCTGTATCCTTTTAATGATATTTGTTTTATTTTTTACATTAAACGATTCTGTGTACAAATCTAGCAATCTACTACGTAATCAGCATTGTCCACAAATTATTTTTTACTAAGGTGTTTTGGGGTTTGTCGATACCTTTTGAGTTGTACTGCCGCCCCTTAAAAGGATACAGCCTGCATAAAGGAGGAAAAGCGTTCCAAGGGCAACGAAGAAATTTCAGCACGATAGGAAGGATTACCTACGTATTAAAGGGATCTTTGTGATCACGGAAAACGAATTATTTCGCTAGTTAATCGTTACTGAGTAGTGGTTGCCAATTCAACACATAAAAACCCCACAAAACCAATTTATTGCTTATACTTTCGAATAAATTGCATGGAATTCATTAGTCTTCAACATTCCATTATGTGTATGAATCGCTACCAAATCTTTCAGATTAGACTGGGAAAAGAGAGATATTAATTACCAAAATGTATAAGGGAAGAAACAATAGGATCAATTTACATCTTTATTTCACTGAGAGTGCATATAATACCATATGCTTATTTGCAGCTACCGCAGTAACACACTTGCCCTATGCATCCTCCAATGGGACAACGATCTCCTTTGCACAAGTGATGGCAGTTTTCGTCACAATCGGCTGTAGTAAAATAGCGCATAGATATAACTCCTGCAGAAAAAGAACCACAATAAATGTCATGAACTCCATTACAATTAACTATACGCAAACGCACCTGTCTTATTTTGTCCATTTTCTTCTTCTGCGCTAGCTAGTGCGAGAATGATAAAGAAGGCAAGCAAGATGTAACCTGCGATTTTGGACATTTTTTTTGGTTGTTTACAAGCAGCGACACGCACTGAAGTGAAGTGCTTTTACACAACTTTTGCAATTAATGTAACCACCTTTTATTGGTCGTTATTAGCTGCAATTCTATTGTTTTTATCATGAAAATCAATTTTTTTTAACGATTAATTGCTTTTAGTTCAGATAAGGTTAACTGCTGCTCATTTGTCATAGTAATAATCCAATTTTACGGCGATTCATAGCATGCTTTTAAATTGCGCGTTTCGTGTAATTGAATATGTTTTAATTGTGTCGAACATAGGTACCTACCCAGCGAACCAAGACCAATATTTATATGGATACATTTCAGATGCATTCTACCTTAGGTACTTAATGCTACAAAGGCCAGAGAGTAAAGATGTCAAATTATGGGTAAAACAGGTAAAAATCAGTTCATTATTATTATTATTACCTCCTTATTTTAGTGGTACCATGACTGCTGTATCTCAGGACGTACCATCAAGTTCAACTTTGGCTAGAAAATGTCATGGAACCACAAAAATGGAGCTGGAAAAATACTAGCTACGGACTATCTCCTGTCACTGTCTTTAAACCTTCCGCTACACCAAAATTCTGAAGTTAATCTCCTGGGTGTAAAAAAAAATGCTGTCGTGGCGCGTGTAGATGCAAGAAAAGTGGGTTGAAATGTTCAATAATGTGCCTCGAGTGCAACAATTCACGCGACAATAGCCCTAAAGATATCGTCGAAGATTTGGATGAAGAAGATCGACAAGCAGAGGATGAGATTATTTTGGGGAAATCACGTAAATTTGATGGTCCAACGTTTCCTAAGTCTGAAAACACGGAAAAATTGTCAGATTAGTCGCTCCTAAACTTCCTTTTTGTCTTCCTTCAACAATGGATCATCAATATACTTTCAAAACGGGAAACCAATTAAACCTTTTTCGCGCATGAACCTAGCTGTGGGCCCTCAGCTGCAGTTAAACGGGAAAGAGTAGATAATTTAAACTTTTTTTTAAAATAATTTAATTTAATTTAGTAGTAAAAGTATATTTGTTAAATATGTAGGTATGTTCTTAATTCTGAACTTGTCTGAAAATAGGTGGAGAAAAGTTGGAGGTTCAGGGTTGATTTCCCGATGTTAAAAAAAAATTATCAAAGTCCTCGTGTGAAATCGAAGGGACTTCAGCGCATTTTTGTGTGGCAGGTCAGTATTCTATTAGCCACTTTCGACTCAACCATCAATAACAGATCTTGCCGAAGGCTACTACATTCGCTAACCGTTTCCCACGCGTGCACCCGCAATTCGCTTTTAAAGTTAAAATCGTGTCGGGGGCTACCACATTCCCTTTGACGGTAGCCATTTCCGACGTCCCGTTCACTCGCAATTCGCTTCTATTGGCGATACGAGAAAGAGAGACAGCGATTCGAGATTTACGAAACGTTAAACCGCGTGAGTTCGCAACGGAAGGTAAAAGGCGCCCGAAGTTGACTACTTCTCGAAGACGCGCGCGCGCGCCTCGCAAAAGGTCGTTAATTTCGCCCCTATACAAAAAACAAAATTCCGCCACGCAGGAGTTGTGCGCGTTTACAACATCTTTCCGACGACACCAATTTGAAAAGAATCGGACCAAAACTGTAGTAGAAGATAGGAAAAAACCGAAAAACCTTCACGTTAGTATACTACGCTCGAGGATGACGCCCAGATGTCGCCAACCCCACATCATGTAGCCATGTCCCTAAGGTTGACAAATTTCACGGCCTTGTAGATACACGTACGCCCGTTGCCTTTCTACAAGAGTTCCTCTACGCGCCCACATTTGCAGCCAGCCAGCCGGCCAGCCGGCCAGCCAGCCAAAGTGAGATTAAAAGCTACTTTTTACAAATAAATTTGCAAAAATGCGCTAATAAGAGAGATTAAAGAAGGGGGGGGGGGGGGGGGTTAAAACGAAAGATAAAGTGGGTGAAGGGAGAGCGAACACGAACGCCGTGGGTTGTTAAGCGAAGTGCGCCTGAGTCGCCAATGAGCATACTTTAACGCTCGCCAGCGCCCCCTACGTGCGTAGTACGTAAAAATCTTTTAGGACGTTTTAGGTTGCATAGTATATCTACATTTCAAATGTGTAGGTATTTTATTTGTGAAACCACAAAAAATGATTTCTTAAAACAACATATTTTTTTCTTATTTTTCAAGATTTGGGGCGGTTGCGGAGGGAATTTTTGGTGGGAAGTTAAAAATTTTGATTCAGCAACCCAAAAAACATAAAGTAAGCCTATTTCCAGAACTACCATTAATTTTGCAAGCTAAGGTCTTCATATGTTCTGTATTGCCTGGACTATAAGTTAGAAACAATGGATACGTGCCTGGTACTTTGATTTCAGGTGGGAGAAGCTCTTTTACCCCAAGGTATACAAAATGGGCGTAAAGTGAAAGGCAAAGGATCGTTCTAACAAGCGATTGAAGCGACCGAGAGTTTTCTCTAAAAAAACAACAATATTATGCTCGTTTGGGGTGGGAATTGTGTTAAGTACAGTATGTAACAAAGTTACAGGAATTACACCTAAAGTGAATCCTAATTTACTTGCAACACTGACGTTCAACACGAAAAGAAATGTTAAAAATATGACGAAACTGAGGTAAGTTAGTAAGAATAAATAAGTTTCTGATTCTGATACTTTGATCTAAGGTATGGAGAAGCCCTTTTACACTAAGATATACGAAATGGGCGTAATGAGATTCGTTCTAAACCAGTGTTTTGAAGCGACTGAGAGCTTTCTCTCCATCAACGAAAAACTTTTCCGATAATATGGTCCTCGATATACGTATAATTCATGAAAAAGTGTAAATGTATCATTAGGACAATTTTAATTAAAACAAACAAAATTAGTATACTAATAAGAATGGCGTGGGTATGTGACAATGGCACCACTCATTACGAGTGTGAAACGAGGTACCTACTCAAGAGAACAGTACCTACTAAAAATGTACTAAATCTTCGTGCAGCCAAGCAAAATCCTTTAAAATCATTAACTTTCTTTCTCGACACGTAAGCCATGTCATTAATTTCATAACAAGTTTGATGCATTTTTGACGTCATTTATCATCATCGCTTCCCAATTCACGTGGAAATGACATTCTTTCTATACAACATCTTCAACGTCTTCTTCGTCTTTTTCAGAAGAGTGTCAAACACACATTTTTTATTTTTCTTCTAGATAGTTTGATTTGCATTTCATGTGATTTTTCTCTTTCTCTGGCGTTTGAATCTCGGTTTGAATGGTTTCATGAATGCGTAAAATTTTTGTCATATTTAGGTATGTACCGTTTGTAATCTTTTCTATTTTAGCATAGCTTCCGGGATAAATTTGCCAAATTATCCACCATTTGACGTAAGTGGGGAATCAAACGCTGTAGATAAAAGCTAAAAATTTGGCTAAAGGAGGAATAAGGCCTTGAAATTTGGAAACGCTAAACCGATATCGTATACCAAATCCTGATATAACTGCCTACAGATTGTGACAAACCTGAATCCACCAACAGTCATGTGAAATGAGTTGCGAAGGATATAATCCTCTGGATCCTTCGTTGGGTTTTCTTCCGAAGGAGCATGATTCCACTGTGTCGAAGGAAGAATTTTTTGAATGTGTGATACCCTATTAGCGATAAACGTTTTTCATCTGCGAGGTGAGGAAGGTATCCAAGCTCGCGTGACGTGTGGATCTGAACAAGCGTCAACTTTTATTTGACAAGTAATTTCTTAGATGCAGATAGTAAATCTGCCAGCACAGAATTCTAATCGCGGTCAAGATAAACTTTTCAAAGCTGCAACGCGTGATTTCCCGGTAAGAACAAAAATAAAAACTGGTTCTCGCCATAAAGCGACTAATAGCTATAGGGAATTTTCAGTACTGCGCGAACCATCTACTTACGTGTAGTACAAAGGAATGGCATTCTTATAAATAAAAATCTGCGCATGCGCACACTTGAAATTTGAAATATGCGATATGTTTACCTTTACTAGAAGAATCTCGTTTTTACTATGTACATATGCTTGCCTTTACTAGAAGCATTTGAGTATTTAATTGAGACTTTTAAATTATAAAAAGTGCGGTCAGTAAAAAATTTAAACAGGCAATGGTTGAATGACCGAGTGGTTTGACATACTTTGATACGCTTGTTAATGAGCAATTTAAACTAAACGCGAGTTTGGTTTACTTTCACTTTGATAAATGCAATTTTAGTTATTTCCGAAAAAAATGCGTGCACGTAGATTAGATATAAATTCTATGTTCAAGTACCTGCATATAAACGGTTAAGTTAAAGGTTTAGTTATTACTAATTGAGGTGAGTTTCCTGTGTTCTTTTTCTTCGCCACCCCATTCAACAATTAATATAACAAGTTTTCGCGGATAAAATTAAGGGTAAGATTAGACTCAAAACTAAAATACGATCCTCCTTTACAATGATCGTGCCAATGATTAAATATTTGTATCCCTGTGGTTGAAAGTGACCCCCCTGCGAATTTTTCCGACACGTTGACAAAATGCTTTGATTAGACGTTTATCTAAGGTTCCCAATACGTCGGAGTGGACACTGAACACACTCACATACAGGGAAAATTTTGTTTGCGAACTTTGTTGGTTAATTCATTTTGCATTTTCACATCAAAATTACATTAAAGAATTGTGCAATGCCCACCATCAAAGAAATTTCTAACAAATGGTTTCTCCGAAGAATTAATCATGAACTTAATTAGGAAATATAGAGGAAACAAATTAAAAATGTAACAACGTTAAGAGATCGTATTAGTAAATTAGATAAAAATTATATTAAATTGGCCAATTATATTTCATACACTAGAAGTTTATCTAAAGTCTTTCCCAAATTATATTCATAAACTGTTACAAAAATCCTTTAGGTGGACTGGGTTAACTTTTACGAATATTATTTTTCTGAGACTTAACTTCGCAAACAGCACATTACGAGTGAGAATAAGATGTGCGGAACATACACTTGCATAAGTAAAAAATTGCCATTTTCATTATATTTTTGATAATAGATTTGCATAATAGCTTTTACAAAAATTTAATTACTGATAATTGGAAATGGAAGGAATTATCATATTTAAGTATGTACCTATACCGTTTGGTTATGTGATTTTATTAGCTTCGTCATTTTCAAATTATACGTTCTATACTAATTTACGTAAAGTGTTTAACAACAAATTTAATTAAAAGGTAATTGGCGAAATGCAAAGTAGGGTTATGTTGCGAATTACTGAATTTTCTTTGCCAAGACGAGTTGCTTCTGCTTAGGCTCCAACCATTACTGGATGATCGAGTGGCGAAAATGGGTGAGCATGTATTTTTCCTTGGTATCTGGGATTATGTGGTGATATCTGGAGTCTTACTCATATCAGCGGGAGTCGGAATATACTATCACTTTACAGGAGGCAAGCAGAACACTGTTAAGGTGAAACAATTGATCAAACTTAGGTTGTTACTGAATGTGATTTGTAGGAGTATTTGTTTGCCAATAGGGACATGCATGTAGTACCAGTTGCATTTTCGTTAATGGCATCTTCATTATCTGCAGTTACCATATTAGGTGGTGTTAGTGAGAGTTATACGTACGGTATTCAACAGACTGTATTAAATTTGGCAGTCATTCTTTTTGGGCCTCTTTTTTCGTATACATATATGCCTGTATTTTTTCGTTTACAACTAACGAGTGTGTACGAGGTAAGTTGAATACTATTAATTAATCCCACTTCCACATTATGCTTAATTTCACTAGTTCAAAGAAATTACATTTCAATAAAACTGTGAAACTTACGTGCAATTGTAAATCCTACAGATTTCTGACTGCTATCTATACTACTTAGTCCCAACTGTGTAGCTCAGTGGTAAGCGTTGGGCCACATAGGTCGGGTGTTCGAACCTGGGCTGAGGTAAATATTCTTCATATGTGACAGAGACATTTCCTTAGATCAGTTTCTGCTGGTTACTCCGAATTAGGTTTTTCTGCAGTTTACTTAATTCCGAGCTTAATTCGTAACGTAAATACCGAAGTAGTATAGAACAGCTTAAGACCTTCTGCAAGGGCACCTCAAAAAGCATCATTATTATTATAAATAAATAAATTAATATATACACTATCCAAACTATAGCTGAATTGGTTTTGTACCATGAATCCAATTTCAGTACTTGGGAAAGAGATTTGGGATGGTAGCAAGACTTACTGGCTCCCTTACGTATACCATTCTAACGACTATCCAGTCAGGAATGGTCTTGTATGCACCGGCTCTTGCCTTAGATGCCGTTACTGGAATATCGAAAAATGTTGCGATCTTAAGTCTAGGTCAGAATCCAATCCGATCATAAGATTCCACTTTTGCCAACACGTTTTTAGGTTCAGTATGTACTTTTTATTCAACTATTGGTGGCATGAAGGCTGTAATTGTAACAGACGTACTTCAGACGCTACTCATGGTTGCAGCAGTAACTTGCGTACCGATACATGCAATACTGACAACAGGAAGCTTTTCAGAAATTTGGAGAATCGCAGAGGAAGGGAACAGAACGAGTTTGTTAAAGTAACTTCATTTTAGTAGCTATAGTAAGCCACAAATGATGCAATTCCAGTTTTGACATCGATCCTACAATTCGATATTCTTGGTTTTCGTTAATAATAGGTGGTGGAGTACTATATCTGTCATTGAGTTGTACCAATCAATCGCAGATACAGAGATACTTATGCGTTAAGGATTTAAAGAGTGCACGTCAGGCAGTTTATTTAAGGATACCTATATCAGTAGGCCTTAATGTTAGCGCAATATTTACTGGATTGGTGATTTACGCCAGGTATTACCAATGCGATCCTATTGCTAATCAAAGTATTAGATTCTCCGACCAGGTGACGACAACACTGGAAATGTAACAACATGATTAATTCGTTTTCAGTTACTTCCCTACTACGTCGTTCAGACGATGGGACACATTCCTGGATTGAGCGGTCTTTTTATCGCTGGTATATTCAGTGCTGCACTTTCCACTTTGTCGTCTTCGTTGAATTGCTTAGCAGCGGTAACATTGGAAGATTACTTTAAGGTGAGCTATTGTAGTCCCCTCCTAAAGTCTAACCTTTACTTTTACAGCCCATTTATTTCAAAGCTACGGGCCGAAACCCTCCAAACGATAAGTTATCTTTATACAGTAAAATCATATCCTTGGTTTTTGGATTTATTTGCATAGGATCAGCATGCTTGGCGCATATGTTAGGCGGCCTTATGCAATCTACCGGATCTTTTATTGGTATTCTTGGGGGACCGCTTCTTGCATTATTTAGTTTAGGTATGTTTACGAGAAGTGCCAATCAGAAGGTATGTAACTGTCTCTTGTGATGAAGTCTAAGATCGAAATTTAAGGGAGCGATGACGGGATTTGTTGCTGGAATTGCGCTTTGTTGTTGGGCTGCATTTGGTGGCCCAAGACCACCCTTGCCGAAACTGCCTGTACAAGTAAGTGGTTGCAACGAAACCATTTCCGTGCGCCCCACATCGCACCCAAAATTAGACGACCGGTGAGTATCTTGTCAGCTGATACTCACAGAAGTAGTAATAATTTCAATTTTAGGGAGTATTTTTGGCTATACCGTTTGTCATATATGTATAATGGTGTAATTGGTTTTTTATGCACGTTTGTAGTGGGAATTGTATTAAGTATAATATGTAACAAAGTTGCCGGACAGACGCCTAAAGTGGATTCTAATTTACTTGCAACATTGACGTTCAACACGAAGAGAAAAGTTAATAACCATAAAACTGAGGTAAGTTTAGAAACAATGGATACGTACCTGATACTTTGATTTCAGGTGGGAGAAGCTCTTTTACACCAAGGTATACAAAATGGGCGTAAAGTGAAAGGATCGTTCTAACAAGCGAATGAAGCGACCGAGAGTTTCTCTCAAAAAACAACAATATGGTGGTTGGTAAATTTTCATCATCGTCTAGCTCGCACTCTTCCATATTGTCACATCGGTCCGGATTACTTTCCCACATTTCAGTACACCGGAGCCCATTTGACTGACATGTACATGAAGGAGAGCAACGCTTTTTCGAGCATTAGCAGCGACAAAGTTCCACGATAAGCTCTGGTGCACAGGGGTTGGTACAAGCAACAGGTTCATATGCATTCCCTACTCTGTACCATCTATAATCTAACAATGGTGGATTTTTGGGATGCTGAATTAGGTCCTGATTCCACTGATAACACTCAAGGTGAGCCCTTAGAAATGTCGAATCCAATGCAGATCCTGTTGGAGGAACATTCTCATCCTGATATTGTTTTTGTGTAAACAACATCTATCGTAGAGCTCCTACGTCGGTGAGTGTTGTTGGGGATATAAACCAGGCAAATGAAAGCTTTCAAGTTAGTCCTAACATCTTCATTGAGTGACACTGTGGCCCCCAATTGAGACTACTACCACTACTTTATTTTACCTTTGCCAGCAAATGATTCTGTTACATCGGCACCCGAAAGTGCCGACTGCAAACGACTTCGATAGTGCTAAAAACATGTGGTTACTTAGATCGTGCCGCAAGTCTATCAGGTCCACTTCTAGAAGTTATCAACAATCTATATGGCAATGGTTTTCTTAATCTGTTTTGCTGTCGTCTTAATGGCATTCTTTTTCATAGGAGCCCAGGACGGAAAGTTGTTAATACGAACTCGTTGTTCAAAGAAAACGTTAAGCAAAGCTTGAATAACCTTTCCAAAATTGTCTTAAGACACTTTTATTCCCTGTGGAAAGGCTCGCCGAGTTAGGATGTGAATGAGATATTATCAGTTTTGGATTGGAAGGGATTTGTCCAGTTTTGAAATGCTTTCTTTGGTTTAAGGTTTAAGTACAGTAACATTCTGGCACTGTTGAAGTGTAACACACACTTTAAGATGTTGACTTTGTTCTCTATTTTGAAGTCCTATCAGTTTTTCAGTTTTGCATGCAATTCTAGTTAGTTCCGAATTAGCGAGGAAGAATCGACTTCGAGCTTTCTCAGTAAGTGTTATAACAATAGTCCTCCATGCACCTTTAGTTTGCGATTTTGGTGTTCTAGAGCTTCATCAGTACCTAATGCACATACGTGGCACTTTACTTCCGTTTACGACCCATATAATTGTTTCCAGAACTCTGAATCTGGTGGATTCCATCTCGGAAAGATATAGGGTGATCATTCGAGCATAGTTCAATCTATTAAATATAAAGAAGTATTTTACAAACTTGTGGAAAGATGATAAATACGGGATCCAATCCGATGCTCTTACACCTCCAATGAAGTTCATCATTGCTTTGACCATATTCATATATGTGCATGCTAGTTTAAAAACAGGACACTTGAGCTTTTTTGTTGCTGAAAAGTGTTCCATTTCTTCAATAATTCTTCTGCAACATGTAATTCATCCCAATTCTTTTTATCGCCAGCTCTCAGTTCGTCTACCAGTTCTCGCAGCTGAGATTTCAAACAGTATAGTTGGCGTGGATATTCTCCCTCAAATTCTTCCAGATGCAAAGTTAGCGCAGACGCAGTAGTTATGTAAGCTTCAATTGCGCTTCTGATGTCTTTACTCAATAACAAGTCCCGTCCCACCGTGAGTGAGTCAAGATAGTAGCGTAGCAATGTTATCTTCTCAGCTTGAGATCTACATTGACTTCGCGTGGTGAATTTAGTAAAAATGGAAAGTAGTGATTACTTGAATTTGAGAGGTTATTGTAGGTATGAACTGATGTGCGGCCATTTTATGTATTTGGCAATAAATCTAATCCCATACTTTACATATTTTGCGCTACAAGTTTACGATAAAATTAATATGGAAATAAATAACTGTACGGAACGTATTCACACAACCGATTTAAATAATTCTTTAAGTATCTCTCAAAAATACTCCCATAAAGAGGCTCCATTTCTTTTCCTATTTCTTCAGTGTGTCCATGTACCTACGCATTCCGATGTAACGTCTAAGGAAGATGTAATAATATATGAGGGAGGTACTCATTTGGATAGACTTTTATACATACTAAAGCTTTCACTTATACTTCCAATTACTGTTCCGTTGAACTGATCTATATGAAGTGCAAAATTAACACTAGACACGGTACAGTAATCTAAACCATCTTTTTCTAATATTCCGCCCTGTACCACAAACACACCACGAACATTCCTCATGTATCCTTTGAAACCTCTATCGCCAGTGATCAAACCGCCTTCTATTGTGTCCGTTGAGTTAAAGTACACTGCAACGGGCACCATTTCGTAACGTATTTCTCCCTTTAAGAGTATTTCTTCTGGCATAAATCTGAAAAACCGCAATAAGAAGTTTATATATAACTCGCTCTTACTCAATCCCAGATAGTTCGAATTTATCCAAATTCTCGAACGTCATGTTATGATATGTTACTTTTATATCTATATTATCTGCCGATGCTCCTGCGGTTACATTCTTGATTGTGACGTGATCGAGAGGTGGTATTTCCAATTCTTCTATCCCATTGCTGCGAAGGCTCGGTTTCAAAGTGTACGCTGTCTTTGTGATACAGTCAACTATCAATGGATCATCCCTGTAGCACCGTGGCAGGGAGCTGGCTAATTTAACGCGTAAAACGTAACTAACATATAAAAAAGACAACTTATACGCAGGGAGATACCATCAATAGCACAAACACAAAGTATTAACAAAATCATTTTAATTACAGATTACACTTACACGTATTACATACCTATATCACTATTTATACTATCCGTATTATATTATTCCGCCACTCCGTAAGTACATTTAAAGTAGGTACTTACACATAATTATCACATAATACATACATTTTTTTTACTATTACATTAATTTAAAATTATTGAATTAGTTATAATACATTTCGTAAAGTTGAGTTCGTGGGAGTATAATACATCGTAAATATCTCTCGAATGATAAAGTATTGTAATGGTTTCAAAACAGTCTCAGTAGGTACTTTCGGTCATATATCAAAGGATGAAATATAGCGGCCTTAGATCCCTGATTCCTTTCATATATGGCTTAAGTGTATTTAATACTGTCGCTATTTTGGATAGCGCTACGAAAGGGTTACAGCCCGAATCGAATAGATAAGTTGCTGCCCCACCATGATATTTGGATAACATTTAAATTATAACTTGGTATATTTTGTAATTAGGCTAAAACTTTAGATTTCGAATGTATGTGTTGTGTAAATCATGTGAAATATTATACGAGATGGTAGAAGAGGTGAACTATAAATTTAGGCTGCTCTGGAATTCATACATGCTAATATTTCTTCTACGCGAAACACCGGAGTATAAAAATATACAACATTGAAGAATTAAATGACGAAGAAAATGTTGTTCCGGTTGTTCGATAAAGAGGAAAAAAATTCGTTAAACCACTTGTGAGCAAGAGGCGAAGAGTGCACTTCCAAATTTGTTTTTTTCGATTTTAAAAGCCCTTATGAACATTACATTCCTTAAGGAGAATACAAACATGAAATAATTTTTAATTTCTGATCGAATGACACCAATACCAAGTCTGTAAGTGGTGTAGTTCCAGAGCTTTTGGGACTCAGGCAGACTTTTTAGCGCATTTCCACAAAAATTAAAAAAAATGCGCTATTGTGGCCACTTTGTCCGTCCGTCCGTCCGCTCGTTTTGCGACGCTACTAGTTATTTTTTTAAAGTGAAAGTACACTAAAAACAATTAAGAGAGTAGAGTACCCACAATGGATCAGAGGTCGATCAGACGTCTTTTAGCGCCGATAGAGGATGTTATATATGCGGTAAACCAGGACACTTCAAGAAAGATTGTAGGGTTAATTTGTTCAACAATAGAACAACGGAAATTTTTGAAACAACAGGCCATGAGAGACGTCTCCGAGGGAGAGCCAGTGCAAAACGGTATATTCAGACGGAACTACAATCTGAAAGAAGATTTAGAAGTCGAGGTCAAAGTTCAAATATTCGTAAGAAGAACAAATAAACAAAATCTATGTATGTATGTTTTTTATATGTGGGTATTTCTGTGTGAAATATGCAGTCAAAACCATCACCCAACCTACCTAGCTAGCTCAAATTACAGCTCAAATTGAACCATTGTTTTCATTTTCAAATTTTTCTCAGAGCACGACTGAGTTGCGACACAACAAAAAATTCTATCATTGACTTAAAATTCTTATAAATTTGAAAGTTACGAAGGCCTCAATCAAATTCCGTAAATTCCAATGAAATCACTACTAAAATTTTAAATTGAATTTAAGATTTGGATAAAAAGAAATTAGAATAATACTGTATCTGGATAAATTGGGATTAAAATTGACACATAATTGTTTATTAATCATCTGACCAAAAAAATTATCACATCGTATAAGGGTTTTAATTAATACTGAGGAATTCGTGAGGAAATTTTGTTATGTATAGCACTCGATCGATTTTTATTCAACACAGGTAATTTAAGAATTTTTCACAGTAGGGTGTAGGTATAGTCACCTCAGATACGAAATGTGGGATAAATTTGGCTCCAAATTTGAGAAATTTAGATATGATCTTAGCCAATTGGTAAGGATTTTGAAATATAGAGAAGGCAAAAGTTATAGTTATACTAGCAAGAGTCTTTAAAATGATGGGAATAATTTACTACCTTATAAAATTATTAGATAGATTACGATATTCTTCTAAGTAAATTAATAATTATCCTGTGATTATATAGGTTCCAAATCTGAAAATGATTGTTGCCTTTACTCCCTTTCACAGTTAAGCTAAATAAAGTGGCAAATTATTCCTACAGTTTTGTTATGAACATTATTGCATCTAAATTAATGGAAAACTTGAGATAAAGGCAAATTAAATACCTACTTTACTAAAGATAGACAATATTATTGCAATGCCCAAGTCGGAATATCAACATTGAGTCAGGTTAAACATGCAGAAAGAGGAAGATAAAATAAGTTCTTTCTATTTCGGTGTTACAATGAGAATTTTGTGCAACTGTTTTCGGCAAAAAGTTCCATTGTAACATTGTTTTTGGTAACTTTTCATCTCTAAGTTGGCAGTTCGCCAAGACGTCAACGTCAAATCATCAGATGTGGAATCAAATTACGTAAAATTTATGTGTTTTCCTTGATTTTTGGTACACGAAGAACTTAATACATTCCAAATCAGCAGTTTACACATCCACCATAAATAAATTTATCTACGAGTAAAAAATTACACATTCACGGAATTTAAAGTTTCCAAATGTCAGTGTTGTGTTTATCTACGCTGCCAACTTAAAATTTGTCAACGTAAATGACATAGACATAGTAATTCTAAAGTTTCCTGTAGTTTTTGATAATTACTTTTTAATTAAATTAAAGCCCCGAAATAGAAAAAATGGTACCTATGAAAAACACGGGTTACAATGCTTTATTGTAATACTCCTATCTTGTGGACACTCGTGGCTCCGCTCCGCTACGCCACTCGTGCCACAAAATAGTCGTATTAAAATAGGTCGCATTGTAACACTTGTCTTTCAATATACTATAGTGTGAAAAGGGTAAGACTACTGATATTCCAATTGTACCAAAATTAAAACTGACGAAAGCAACTACTTTAATAGACACGCAATTTATAAAATTATTTGTTTAATGCATTTGTCATTAGCCACACGTCCAGACATAGCTTTTTAGGAAATTGTTTTAGTAAGTACCAAGATGGAGCAATATTACCTACCTATAATAGAAAGCTACCTATACGTACTAATGTTGGGATAGACTTTAGAAAGGTGACAAGGAAATATTTAGAATGTTTCATGGATTCTGACTGGGCAAACAATTTAATTGATGTAAATTAATACATGATTCAAAAACAGATTGTCAAAAGCTTGTTACATAAAATTAGAATGCGATTTAGGGCTTAACGACTTTAGCGAGAGATGATGTACTTATGAGAGTATATAGACACAAAATTATGGCTATAAAACCAATGCCTAGATACTTATATAATATAAATAGGTTGAACTGAATGCGAATAAGTTGATGTACAAGGCTGAATTGGGCAGAATTAGAGATAATTTCGATTTTCTCGAAATCGAAGGACACACAAAACTTGTAGATTGATGCAAAAACCATTTCAAAAGTAGGTACCATTTTTGTTGAGTTCAGAGTGGGGTGCTGATTGTACCGTTATACACCAATTTTATTTAATATAGGTAATACAAAATCAACTTAGAATCAGTTAATTTGCAAGCAAGCTATTTTTAGTACTTAAGAGTCTTTAAAAGATGTGATAGGTATTGAGGTCAGACAATTGAATACCTAAGCGCTATTCAATGGGTAAAATAATACTTATCCTTTAAAAGTGTGTTCAGGTTTTCTTTAAATGATTGCATAAAGATAAGCGGATGTTAGGTAACCACATTTTTGTTTTATTAGTGCATGAAAATAAATAAAAAACCTGAATTTTTGCAAGTATATTTTTAAAAATAAGGGCTAAAAGTTGGGTACCTGAAATATACAAATGGCTAACCTGAATACCAAGAGCCTCCGTGGCGCAATCGGCTAGCGCGTTCGGCTGTTAACCGAAAGGTTGGTGGTTCGAGCCCACCCGGGGGCGGTTTTTTTTTAATCCTTATTTCCATAAGAAGAAAAATACATGAGGGATGTTTTAATAATATGATGAATAGAAATTTAAAATTTTTACGTAAAAAGGGTATGTTAGGGTCAAAGGGGACTACATCTCTTTCTCCCACATGGCTATTACCACAAAGGGAAAACTCGATGAATTTGAGGCTGTAATGTGTTGATTACTTTCCAATGATAATCCACAATGAAGGAAATATTTTTGATATAGTATGATTGTTTTTAAAATCCAAAAATGTAAAAATATGCAATTTTTAAATTTAAGGCCACTTATTAAAAGTACAAGCTCAACGATTTTTTAAATTGAAAAAATTAGTAGTACACCCTAGAGACCGAAAGGGTTAATGCAATAGTTGGTGCCTATTACAGTAATAAGAAGGATTAACTTATTGCAATTATACATGACCGATGTAACGAAAGTAGTGAATTAGATTTAAATATGCTATAGTCATGAAATACTCATGCATCTGATTATATTGTTTGAATAGTGCTACACTGCTACTAATTAAGTAATTTTGAAGTCTAACAAAAATATTCCGTTGACTTACATGTATGTAAATGTGGAAAATTTCATGTGCTTAAATTACTTTTCCAATTATGAGTTTCCTTGACTATTGAGGAAAATAAAAAGATATACAAAGAAATCGCAATTAGATTTATCTTCAATTATGGAAAGTACGTCTCATGACATGTTTCAGTGATATATATATATAACCAAAATCAGCTTTTTAATTTGAATATTCATTTACTTATCTGGACTTCAGGTTAAACTATTAAAAGTGGAACGTATTGTAAATTTCCTGAAAAGAATAACTTTAGGAAAGCTTATAATAAATGTAAAAAGGATCAGATGAGAATAATGTGACGTGAAGTAAAGGAAGATTAAAAAGAGTGGCTCAGGAAAATGAAAGGGAAAACCAAAAGGGAAACTTGAGCTGAATAATGAAACCTGGGAATACTTAATTGAAAATAGCCTATTTGATCCATTTATAGGAGAAAATTTCATACTCATGTATGATAATGCAAAGCCACTTTAAATCACTATCTGGATGGAGGTGAGATAACTTATATGAA